TATTGGGGATTTTTTATGGGTCCCCATATATCACTATATATAAGGTAGAAAGGAGTGTCACATCTCTCACTTTTGTTTGTGAATGAGGTTCTTTTATGCTTGGCCAACTTACAGGTTTCACAATGAAAATTTTTATTTTCTATTTTCTGAAAATGTTGTGGATACATGTCTTAGGACATCAAAAGATGGATGTCCTAGTCTATAATGATGAAGCCAAATAGTGGAATTCCTATCGACTAGGGATAACATAGAGCAACTATTTTTAGATTGATTTGGTTCTTCCAGGTAGTACAATCCTGCTTTCTCCTTAGCAAGTCCAATCTTCTTCCCCGATCTCTGGTCCTGCAATAAGCAATAAGTGGGGTTAAATAAGGCTTGGCAATTATGATCATTAGTAAGTTTTTGTATTGATATTAGATTTGTGGATAATTGTGGTACGTGGTGTAAAACCCGAAATTCGTCAATTGAGTGCGTCGCACGCATATCGATGCGCCGCGACGAACTTAAGTGAAATTTCGATATCGTCGGAAATTGACGAAATAAATTTCATTAGATTCATCTCGAAATTTCGAGCAAAACGGTATAAAGAACTTATATTAAATTTTGCGCGGATTTGGAGTTAAAATTCGCCGAAGTGCTTTAAGTAACTTTTGGCTAGACTTTCCATTTTTACCCCTAAGCCCTCTTAAGGGAAATGAGTTTGGCAAGGGCACATGCATAATTTGGCTTCCTAAATTTTCCTTAAGCCCCTCATACGCCTAAGGGACCGAACATTTCGGTCCCTTGTTTTGTTTCGGCCGAATGTGAGAGAGGGCGACAGGAGAGGGAGGAGGCGGCAGAAGCTTCTTCCCGAACGGCGGCCGGCGAGATTCCGGCGAGGGATCTTTAGGAAAAGTGTAGGGGAAGACTTGAGGTATGTTTTTCTTAAAAGAAATGGGAGATTTCATGAGATTTTGTGTATAGAAAAATTCTAGGGTTTGATAATTTTTGAGATTTCTTTAGGAAATCTTTAGGATTTGACTTGATCTATGTTTTCCTACCATTCATGTCAATTTTTTTTAAGAAAAACATAAAATCCGAAATTAGGGTTTTTTTTGTTTTATGCTTTATTTTATAGGGATTGTTAGAAGAATGTGATGAAAGGATTTTGGTATAAAAAATGCAAAGTTTTCTTAAAGAATTTTGAGTTTAAAAATTAGGGAAAGCTTAGGGTTTTCACAAACTTAGGGATTCTAGTATGGCATGTTCACTAAAGGTGTTTCAAATGATTTAGAGAGGTCTCTAATTAAAAGAAATTACAATTTTGAGAAGAAAAATAATTTTCTTAATTATTTTATGATTTAATTCCGAAAATAATAATGATTTATTGTTATGTACAAGAAAGGGGAATGTTTTAGAATGACTTAGGATGAATTGGATGAATTTTTAGGTTCATATAATTTATATTTTATTTAAATCCGAAATTTATTAAAAAAAAAACATCAAAGTTTGGTAGGAGGTTTATGATGTTATACCTTAAGAATAGGTGTAGAAAGGTTATAGGAAGTTTCTAAAAGAATTAGAAATTTTATTTTGGCAAGGTTTAAGTTAAATTATTTTCCTTTAGGTGGTGGCAAGAAAAAGAAGAGTAAATAAAGAGGAAAAGAGGAGGAATTCATAATTTTTGAGGTAGGAATTCTTTTCCTTACATGTTCATTTGTTATTTCATGTTATATCATTTTATAAGTTAAAGCCTTTATGACATGTTTTATAGAAATGGAATATTTATCACATGTTTTATAGAAATAGAATATAATATTTATTACACATGCAAAATACATCATTGTTGCTTTCATGCTTAAGTGCTATCAAATTCATGTTTAAAAATTTCATGTCAAACATTTTATATGAAAAGAAAGGAATGTATGTTCATATGAAAAGATTGTGTATAATGGATTACGGAGTACCAAAGACGGTTCACATTATTGCCCTTGGGGCAAAAGAGGAAAAAGGAAGTAATGGCCAAAAGAGGTTTGTGTACCTGATCAGTACACCCTTGGTACTCCGGGATGGTTGTATAAAATAATAAGTAAGCATTTTGTGACGACATTCATTTCATACATATCAAATGACACATGCATATGGAACCCAAATGATTTCTCATTTCTCATTTATATGACATAAACAAGATAGCATGACTAGAAAAAGAAAAGCATGACCCTTTTAGTTTAAAAAAAATGTACATTTCATTTTTTAGTCTTATGAGCATGTTTAGGATTAGAAATATCTGCTGAGCATAGCTCAGTCCCTAGTTTTGGGAAATTTTCAGGAGAACCTACGCTTAAGTGATGGCCGAACACCCGAGGTTCACCTATAGTAGACGCGCAACGGGTGGCAGGTTCTTACTGTTGTTTTTAGTTATCTTTTTTTTGGGTGGTTTTATCATGAATGCATAGATTGAGTGTATACCACCTTGTATATGAACTTATTTTGTGATGGTTTTTAAATGTTATATATGTTGGAAAAAAATTTAGAGGCGCTTTTATTATTCTTGAATATCTTTAGAATTACATGGAACTGATGAGCACTTAAATTACATGTCCGATCTCGTTCCCGCCTCATATTTACCAGCTAACCGGGCCGGGTCGTGACACGTGGAGGACATTTTTCAGGGTGAGTAAGGGAGATAATATGATGTCTCCTTGGCCAGCTACCGTGGTAAGAGAACTATCAGCAGTGATGATTTTCTTGTTGTTTGGGCAAGGAGTATAGTTTATGAGGTGGGTAGGTGAGTGGGTCATGTGATATGTGGTTCCTGAATCAATTATCCATAATTCCTTTAGATGATTTCTGGAAGTACTTAAACTAAAAGAAATTGAGAGTCTTACCTGAGAGTGCAAGTAAATAAGAAGCATTTGGTTTTTCAAGAGATACCAGGAGTCGTTTTAATTTATCAATATCTTCTTTATTGAATTCTCCAAGGCTGGACTGTGCTTCTGGCTTACTTATAGTGTTGTTGGCATGTGATGCGCTCCTTGTTTCACCCTTTTGATTCCACTCCTTACTGGGGGGTTTTCCATGTATTTTCCAACACGTTTCTTTTGTGTGTCTTGACTTTTTGCAATAGCTGCACCAAAGTGAGTCCTTGTCTTTGAACTTTGAAGAATCTTTACCCTTCTCCTTTTATGACGATTCTTTGTTCATCACCATTGCTGAGCTTTCAACTGCCTTCGGTTCTAACATCACTCCACGTCAACTTTCTTCTGCGCGGACGAGGGAAATTGTTTCATTGAGTGAGGCGTCTCCTCCTTGCCAAGAACTTGAACCCTAACTTAGTAAAATTCTGCATTTAGTCCTACAAGATAAAATTCTGCATTTAGTCCTGCAAGAAAATCATAAACTCTATCTTTTTAAATAAAGTTCTTTATGATCGCAACATCTTCCGGATATTTGGTTTCTATGCACCTATAGTGATCAAGTTCTTGCCACAGATTTTGTAGAATGGTGGCATACTCCATCACGGTCTTACTCCCTTGCTTTGTGCTTCCAACTTTGATTTTAATTTCAAAGATTTGAGCCGCATCTCGAGATTTGGAGAAGGTCTGTCTGGCAGCATCCCATATGTCATTTACAGTTGAAAGGAACATAAAGGTATCGCTAATTTCTGGAGTCATGGAATTCCACAACCATGACATAATCATGGAGTCTGCTTCATCGCATGCCCCAAAAATAGGATCTCCTTTTGGTCCTCCTCCAAGGAGGTGCTGTATTTTCCCTTTCCCCTTCAAGTAGGTCTTCACAAATTGAGACCACTTTAAGGCTTGGAGAAATCAGGAAAGCAAAATGGTATTATGATATCTATTACCATGAATCACATTTGTTTAAACTTTTGCAGGATGTTTGATCCTTTCAAGAAGGATTGCATGCAAATTAAATGCAGCCAAGTTGGTCACATGCATTTTACAATTGAGAAGTGTGCTGATGTGTGCGGGTTGGGAGAAGGTGGCAAAAGAAATAAGCATCAAAACGTCACTACTTCATAGGAAAAAGCATCCCTTTACATTCTACCAAACCGTTTAGAGCTGTTTTACAAGGATTCACTTTAAATCCAGTTGTCTGCCGACAGAATAGCCCTTAAAATTACAACGTAACTATACCAAAATTCAATAAAAAAACAACCACGAGACATTAAAATTAACAACTTTCAGCATCAAAAACAAAATCCGACATGTCATCTTAAGCATATTGATATAATTCTTCACCTATACCAAGCAAGTAACTACTGCGCATGCTTAGAACCTATTGCATGTGTGGTGAGACCAACCTCAGGGGTCATGCTTTTTTGCATATTTTAATGATCCTTGTGCGTTCAACTAACCTAAATTGGAAATTGAACGAGGAATGTCTTACTTTAGATAAATGAGAAAAGGACCAAAATGTCCTACTAATTCTTTATGAAATTTCAAAATAATCCTCGGCTATATTAAAGTATTAAACAACTATTTTTGTCTCTTAACTTCTTAAAGAGGAATCAAAACAATCTCATCATAGGACTATTTTGATTTCTTTTTAAAAAATTGAGGGAACAAAATAATCTTTTAATATAGTTGGCTATCATTTTTGTCCTTCAAAAAAAGTCAAGAGACCATTTTAGATCTTTCCTTTTGAAGAAATAGCATAATCTATGTATTTTCAAATTATTACATTAATCAAGAAAAAAAAATGGAAGGCAGATTTATTAAGAGAATAGTATAATAAATATTGACAAGGAACTAAGACTGAATAGAGAAGTTAATATAAGACAAAAAAATAGCAAATAATCAATCTTCATGGTAAATACATGCATAAATCACAAGAGAATGAATTGTAGATAGCAGCAGTTGATCGTGATATGTAATTGTTGAATGCAGAACTTGTTTCAACTGCTTCATATATGCGCAACATTTTCCAATGGTTAATGAATCGAAAATATGCTTAATAATGAAATAAAAGTAGAACCCCAATCAGTGACAAAAGCAAACCGTTATAACTTCTTCAGACCCCATATCATCGCCACCATAGATAAAAAGCTGTCCGCACTTATCATTATTTGCTTTGGCATTAGCAGACCAGTGCAAAACAATGACAGGGAGCCTGCGATCTCCAGAAGCCAGCTGTAACTTGACAACATTTTTAGATGATACAGTGCTTTCTTTCCCTTTGACCGAGGAACTTACTGAAAGATCCCATAATAATATATCCCCATCAATATATCCCACGGCAAGGATGGAGCCCGAGTTAGACACCCAGCAAATGGAGCAAATCTCTTTCTCCTCTTGTTCATCAACTACAGAATCAGGAAGGTCATTCGAAGCAACAGAGAGAGGCTCACTATGTTCCTTACCCTTCAGCTGCAGATCCCTAGAACTTCTCACTGAAATGGCACAGCTTTCACATATGTCCCAGAGTATAATCAGCCCATTCTCATATGCAATCAGCACCCTGAAAAAGGTAACATATATTTATACCAAGTAGGTTAAAATTACTTTTATGAATTACGCTCCTGCTATCACACTAACCCACACTTGCATCAGTGAATAAACCATCAAAAGATGACTAAAATTATAGAGATCTACTCTAGAATTACAGGGAGACGAAATGAATTGCCCATCTTTAACGGTCTAAGAATGGATTTCCGCAATTCCAGAAAGCAAATTACTCAAAACAACAAACATTCAATTCCAGGCGAGGAAGACTAATATGCATCTTGTTGCAGAGAACTTAGGATATAATAAAGTACCAAAGGAAGACGCTGAAGAAAGGTTCAATTTAGGCTTTCCGTGATGACATGCTATGATAATTGACAGTTCAGTACATTCATGAGAACAAAAGTTAAAGCATCTAGGCTATCACAAACATAAGAAAGTAGAAAATAAGCTATGGTCAAGAAACATTTTATTCCAAAACCCTTCTATTAGAGCCATTTTAATCGTTCCAGCATCCAAACTAACCATTTTAGTCCCCCTTTTTTTTCCCAAGAACCTGCAATGCAATGCAAATATGCATTCTAGTTATGGTGTTGTTACCCTACCGCTAGAAGGCAACAAATTAATCTCAAAGCTTGAGGCGTGAATTTTTATAACAACCAAATTATTAAAAATATATAATTAAAATTTCTTAAAAAATTATGCCCCATATTTTTACATTCCGATAAATTATCAATAGTATTTTTATAAAATTTTACATTTCATTTCAATAATTTTTATATATAGAAATATATGGTAATATTCAAGGCTGTGAAAACCGGACCGGACAACGAACCGGAAGAAGGAGAGGTTCACGGTTCGACCGGTTCAACCGGTCTAACCGGGGTCGAACCGGATGACGTAATAAATAATAAATATTATTAAAATTTAATAAAATTAACATAATAATAATGTTATCATTCAAAGTTTGAGGCAACAAATTAAATTTAAAAAAAAAACTATGAAACATAAATTTTATATAATTAAGTAAAATAATTATATTAAAATCTCACATAAAAGAAAAAAATTCTAAATCTCATATTTATAAGAATTTACACTCATAAAAATATGATAATTTAAATTTTTAAATTTAATTTTTTTGAAATTTTCAATTTTTTTTAATGTAAATTAAATTATATATAACCATATAATTTAATATAAATTTAATTAATAACATAAGTTTATAAATTTAATATAAATTATTCTTATTTATATTATATGATTAAATATATTTTACATGTTTATGTTGTATACCAAATTTCTTTTATAAATTTATATCTTAAATAATTAATAAATAATTAAATACATAAAATTATTAATGAAAATTATTTTTATAGTGTATAATAAATAATTTTTTATTAATTACTAATAAATAAGTTTCATTTACATAAAAAATAATAATTTAAATATTTTTTTGAATTTTAAATTTAAATTTTAATATTAAATTAAATTTATATATATAACCATATAATTTAATATAAATACATATTTATAATTAAAATTTATTATAACATAATTTATAAATTAATATAAATTATTCTTATTTTAATTATATGAATTAAATATATTAAACATGTTATGTTGTATACCAAATTTCTTTTATAAAATTTATATCTTAAATATTATAATAATTAAATACATAAAATTATTAATGAATAAATTATTTTTATAGTGTATAAATAAATAATTTTTTATTATTAACTAATAAATAAGTTTCATTTACCATAAAAAATAATTAATTAAAAAAATCTGTTTAAAAAATAATTTTTATATGCATTAATAATGTTATGAGTTCATTTACATCTCAACTCTTTTCTTTAGTCCCACACCACTTGAGAAGAACTTTCTGCTAGTGTTACATAGCATTTTGAGTTCTCTTTGTGTTAAGAGCTCACATGGTACCACCACTCCAATGTGAAATGCTTATGATGATTTGTAGATAAATGTTTATAATAAAAGTTATATTATTATTAATTAAATTTTTAAAATATATGTTAAATTATTTATTTAAAAAATATTTTAAATTTTTAAACCCTAACCTAATAATAGTGTGTTTAATTTAATTAAGAGTTTTAATATTAATATTTATATTGATAATGATTAAGTTTAATATTTATTTAATATTATAATTTATTTACTAATATTTATAAAAAAACTTGAACCGGACGATTTTAAAAAACCGGGACCGGTTCGCCGGTTCAACGGTTGAACCGGCGGTTCTACCCAAAACCGGCCGGTTCAATGTGAAGGCGGTTTTCAGATTGGACCGGACCGGCTCTTAATCCGGTTCACGGTTGAAACGGTCGGACCGGCCGGTCCGGTCCGATTTTTAAAGCACTGGTAATATTACTGTTCATTGAATTAATGCGCTATTCATCCGTTTGCCCATTTCACATCCACGTGAATGCAATGGCAGATTTAAAAGAATATTATATATATATATATATAATCCTAATAATAATAACATTCAGAATTCCCAAATCTCCATTCCCTTAACAAGCTGCCAGAACCGAATGGAAAGGGTTAGGACACAGGATGGGCTTCGGGCCATAAAGGAAGAAAAAGATAAGGGAAAAAAAAGAATTAAAGAGGAAGAGAAGAAAAAGAAGAGAAAGAGAATGGGAAGAAAAGAAATGGGAATTTTCTTTAAGAATTCAATTTGGGAATTTTCTTCCGCAAAGTGGGTTTGTTTCGAGTTGCATTTTTAAAAGATTTGAATGACAGATTTGAATGAGAAGAAATATTCTAAGAAATTCGATCACTTAAGAGCCATTTAGCAGCATTAGTCTAACAGCTCCTTCCCCTAGGATATGTCAAAATTAAACTTCCCTTCTATCTGATGGGGACATCAGATTTCGACACGTGTACCATCGCCGGAGACACCGATCGATGGCCATGATTTAGAGCCTTTATTTTTGACGTTTTATTTTATTCATGTCATTTAAAGTTCATGTTTTTCCTTTTGTACCCCTATGAGGGAATTAGTGCTTATTGTAGCCCAAGGGCGTTGTCGTCTTTATTTGTTGTATTTCTAGTTAGCCTATATAAAAGGCTTTGTCATTGTATTGGAGATGATTATTGAATGAATGAAAATTTTCCATTGTGTGATCTCTTTGTGAGTTCCAAGATCTCTTAGTGAGTTCTTAACATGAGATCTCTTTGTGAGTTCTCCGTGTATTAGTTCCATTGATCTTCGCCTCACCCACAAGCGACGCCACCCACAATCATCCAATCGGAAGAAGTCGGATCAAAACCCCCTCTTGCCGCCGCCCCAAGACCTCCTTGCCGACCACCCTAACTTCACCGGCCGGCCTCCTTGCCACTGGTCCTCCTCCCCTTTCCGCCACCTCCTCCTTCAACACTTCATTGAAATTTGATTTTCAAGTTTCAATTTCTTTCCAAATTTGGAAATCTATTTTTGGAAAGTTTTTGAATAAATTCAAATTTTAAATCAAGATTTTATTTGGATTTTATTTCAGAATTTTTCAAATCAAATTCTCAATTTGGAAACCTTCTCTCCCTCTCCATAACTCTCTCCCTCCTTAGCCATGCTGCCGGCCCCCCATTATGCTCCCCTTTAATTGCCCCATTAACTCCTTGATCCTATTTTGAAATTCAAATTAGGATCCATTAATTTTCCCTCCTATTGCTATGAAAACTGAAAGAATTTCAGTTTAATCTCCCCCTCTCCCTACTCTTCTACCGTCGGCCTCCCCTCTCTCTTTCCCCATTAATTCCTCATTAAGGAATTCATTGCCCTCTCATTGAAATTCAAATTTCCCCTCCAAAACTCCCAAAACTAAAATTAATCTTAATTTTATTTTCTTTGTTTTCTAAAACCAACCTCCTCCCCTCACCCCACCTCTACCGCCGGCCTCCCCATCCACTCTACAACCCGCCGCCCACCTCTCCCCCTCATTTGAGAGTTTCTTGCGGCGACCCCCCTTCGCATCTTCAAGAATGCATGGAGGAATCCGAGTGGAACTTCGGGTTTGAGTACGACAACCAAGGAAGAGTTAACATCCTCAGATCGCCCTTCTTCGACGTCGGTTTCGATTTCGACGACACCGTCAAAGAATATTTGGACCGGATTCTACCAACATTAGTGGATTCCATCGACGACCACTTTTCCGTCTACACGTGGATCATTGAAGGCCGTCCACCCGCCCCTCCGAATCCGGCTCCTTCCCCAGTGACAAGTCCTCTCAAGATCACTTGCCTATTAGTGGCATCGCTAAATCTACTTACGGTCCTCTTCCGCTAGCCACCACTTTCAATATGAGTGATGGATCTCAAGGTGAAGGATCTAGACTTTAAATTTGGGGCTTTGTTATCTTTCGCCATTTGCATTATTTAAATGTTTAGTTGTTATTTTGCAAGTCAACGTATTCTCTACATGTGATCTCTTGCCCTTGCTAAATCTCACATTAAATTTTTCTTTACCTAATCTTCAGCAAGCAAAGATTTATTTATTAGCAAGATCAATTTCATCACCTTTATTAATTTCACCAAAGCAATTCTTGTTCATCTCATATTGTTTCACATCACTATCACTTCCCTTTTTTTTCCCTTTAAGGGCAAGCTCTAAGCTTCTTTATGAAAGAGAAGCAAGAAAAAAATCCAGTATCGTTTAAAGATGAAAATTTAGCAAGAGAAGCAAGTACCATTTTGCAGACTAAAATTGGATAATTTTCAGTTTATCTTGGTTATATAGCCAATATAACATATTAACCATCTATTGAACAATTTAACCATCTTTTTGAGCCTCACAATGGTCCCAAACTGATCATAACACGTCTAATAAGAATAATGAGAAAAATTTAAGGTCTAAACACTGTACTTCCTAGAAAGTAACATATTGAGGACAGAAAGAACCAGAGTAATATTAACAAATGCCCCAATTTCGTATCCATCCATGCATAAGAGAAACAAATTACATAGATGGTTCTTAAAAACCATACCTGGTGCCAGAGGTACCAGGCTGCGGCAAAATTCCCACTATCTGTTGTTGATCGGGAATTGAAACACCAACTGATTCTGCAAAGATAGCCAGTGTTAGGTAGAATATATATGAAGTTTCTTAGAACTGACTAGAATTTGAAGAAAAGTTCAGAAAGAAAAATTCCTCAAAAGAGAAACAACATAAGTTCCTACCAGTGAAGCCCCAATTTATGAAATTAAATTTTGTTTTAGAGAGATATCACTGGATTTCTGATTAGTTCTAAAGTTGTAAGTCCCCAAATAAATGGGGCAAGCATCACAGACATGAAAAGGGAACAAAATGTGCTATGATAACAATGGGAAATAATAATCTTTCAACCATCTTAAAAATAATACAAATCAATAGCAAAAAGCAAATCGTAAGACAGATGCATCATAATACTCAACAGTTGATTTGCAGGACAACTTAGATGATGTTCTTTGCATGATTCTCATTTAGTTAAATTAATCATTCAGATTAACAAATTTAGCAAGAATATCAAACAATTAACCTTCAGAAGAATCCTTCAGTCTTTCATATAGAAAGTAAAGACTCAACAAAAATGATGTAAACAAAGGGGGGGTCAAATCAAACCCAAAAAAATTTGGTTTTGACTTCCCTTGAGCTTGCTAGCTCATTAATTTTTGAGCTAAGATTTAGCTCATTTTGAGCTGGTTTTTAGTTCATTTATTGAACTAAGAGTTAGCTCATTATGAGCTATGTTTTTAGTTCACTTATTAATTTATTAATAGCTCATTATTTTTGTCTCTTCTCCTTCCCCTTGTCTATTCGTTTCCCATGGATGACTCTTGGTTTTCCGTGCTAGGTGGCCTTTCCCGTGCCTTGGTGCTTAAGTTCCGTGCGGGCCTCCTGGGTTCTTGCGGCTACCTCTTCGGGTTCCTCCAGGGCTGTTTTCCTGTGGCTGATGGGGGGCTTTTCCGTGGCTTTGGTGCTTTGTTTCATGGAGTTGACTGTTGGCTCTTCATTTCCCTCATTTAATTAAGAATTTGAAGAGTTTTGGGGCTGTTTAGTTCCCCCTCTCTTATCTATAAATATAAGTTGTTTGTGGTTGTTTTAAAAATGTTATGTGAATAATTTTTGGAAATGTAAACCTGCGGGTTTTGTTGGAAAAGCTTGCAAGCTTGTTCCATCACTTCTTCTTCTCTTCTTCTAGGAAGGCTTGCGAGCTTCTCAACCCTTCATCTTGGTTTCTAACCTCTTTCATCTCACCGCAAGTGCCACCTCACCTGTATTCTTCTTCTAATGGATGAAAGCTTCTTTAGGTGTCTTGTTTGAGTCATTTGTAAGTGTCCAAGTTGTATTAGTCTTTTATATATTAAAGTGAAGTTATTTGTGGTTTATTTGTATCATTTTGAGCATTTTGTGTCTTTATTTTATCTAGGAAGTCATTTCTTTTTGTGATCAAAAATTTGGGTCCATTCCCAAATTTTTTATTGCATCAAATTGATATCAGAGCAGGTTAGGAAGTCCTAGGTTTACGAGTCGTGTGTGTCTTGATGTCATGTTAGTTATCATGAAAGTTTTGTTTTGAGTCATGTTGTCATTTGAGTCTTGGTGTCAAGTGAGCAATCTCAAGCCTTGGTGTCTCTTGATGCAACGCCTTCAGAACAAAGCTAACTCATTGGGAGATGAGTTCTCAAGTAGGTGAGTATGATGTAGACAAAGGGGGGGTCAAATCGAACCCAAAAAAATATTGATTTTGACTTTCCTTGAGCTTGCTAGCTCATTAATTTTTGAGCTAAGATTTAGCTCATTTTCAGCTGGTTTTTAGTTCATTTATTGAACTAAGAGTTAGCTCATTATGAGCTATGTTTTTAGTTCACTTATTAATTTATTAGTAGTTCATTATTTTTGTCTCTTCTCCTTCCCCTTGTCTATTCATTTCCCATGGATGACTCTTGGTTTTCCGTGCCTTGGCTCCTTGGTTTCCCCAGTTGGCTGCTGGTTTTCCGTGCTGGGTGGCCTTTCTCGTGCCTTAGTGCTTCGATTCCGTGCGGGCCTCCTGAGTTCTTGCGGCTGCCTCTTCGGGTTCCGCCTGGGCTGTTTTCCTATGGCTGATGGGGGGGCTTTTCTGTGCCTTTGGTGCTTTGTTTCCTGGAGTTGACTGTTGGCTTTTCATTTCCCTCATTTATTTAAGAATTTGAAGAGTTTTGGGGCTGTTTAGTTCCCCCTCTCTTGTCTATAAATATAAGTTGTTTGTGGTTGTTTTAAAAATGTTATGTGAATGAATTTTGGAAATGTAAACCTGCGAGTTTTGTTGGAAAAGCTTGCGAGCTTGTTTCATCACTTCTTCTCTTCTTCTAGGAAGGCTTGCGAGCTTCTCCACCCTTTGTCTTAGCTTCTAGCCTCTTTCGTCTCACCGCAAGTGCCACCTCACCTGTATTCTTCTTCTAATGGATGAAAGCTTCTTTAGGTGTCTTGTTTGAGTCATTTGTAAGTGTCCAAGTTGTAATAGTCTTTTATATATTAAAGTGAAGTTATTTGTTATTTGTATTCCTTTAGAGCATTTGGTGTCCTTTAATTTATCTTAAGAAGTCATTTCTTTTTGTGATCAAAAAATTTGGGTCCCTTCCCAAACTTTTGATTGCATCAAATTTGATGTGAAACGATCATGCGAAAATTGGTTTGAAGTAAGAGCTTGCGCAGCTTAACTTTAAGGAGCAACAATAATTATAACTTCATTATAGTGGATTTTAAACGACCAAAATAAACAATAAGTGTGATAAAACAAGCTTTAGGTTAAATCACATGAATAAAAGTTAACGTTCAAAAAGATAGCCAACTTAATCCAGACATTGCCTACATGGATCGTATCCAACAATAAATTCCAATTACTAACAATAAGATTTCAGTCTAATGGAAAGGGTCCCTCAACATACAACTCTTCTAATTACTAGCTTTAGCGGAGGAAGAATTAACGGGATCGTCATGAAATCTATATACCACATTGAGAAGCATCTTCGAAAGATAAAAGAGCCGGGAGAAGAGTTTACCCAGGACACGAGAGATACGCGCTCCGACAAAGCGGTTTTGTAGTTGGAATGATGTGGGCAACAACCTCCGAACCTACCTCGCACTAAGGAACAACCAGAAGAGTGCGAGATTCCAGGACAGCAGCGGTAAATTATTGTGGGCTGCTCCTAGAGAACACCCCAATAAGGTGGAGGACGTGTCCTCTACCAGCTCCTTGGGCTGTCGGTGATCAGGGACAGCAAGTTGTGGCCCTTCCAAAAATGCAGGCCAACAGGAGCAGGTTTCATGGCAGCAACTATGGCTGGTTGAACTTCCCGGACAGCAATTTTCACTTGGAAAATTGCTGGACAGCAATTTACTGCAGCTTTAATGGGGCCGGCAGTTTAAGAGGAATCCAAGGAGGAAAATTGTTTTTGAATTTGAAATTCAAATCAAAATGGAGTTAAGGCCTTAATGGGGAATTAAGGGGAGCTCAATATTGGGGGAGGCCGGCGATTTTCAAGAGAGGGAATGGGAGTTTCATTTCATAATCTGAAATAAATTTCAGATTATTGAATGAATTAAGGGGGTTATTTTGAAATTTGAATTTTGGGATCAAGCATTGATGGCATTAAAACTTAGCATAAATTGGATTTCCCCTTGAGTGGCCGGCGGCATGTAGAAGAGAAAGATGGAGGAGATTAGTGTGAATAATCAAATTTTCCGATTAGGAGGGATGCCCACCTAGGATGAGAATTAAGTAACTCCTCATGCCATGGAAATTTGAATTGGATTCACATCCCAATTCTTTCCTTATTCGACTTTGGCAATTATGGAAATTTTGGAGCTCATTCAAATTTGAAATTTTCGAAACTTGAAGAACAAGGTGGGTGATGACGTGGAGGTAAGTTAATGAGAACTCCGAGTTAAAATTAATTTGAAAATTGGAATTTATCAAATAAAACTTTCCTAAATTGAATTTTCCAAATTAGAAAAGAATTCGAGATTTGAAATTCAAATTTCAAATTTGGAGCATGCGGGAGGGAGGAGTGGACGGTTGGGGAGGTTGCCGGCAAAGTGGCCGGCCGGAGCCGTGAAGGTGGCCGGCGGGTGGACTCCAAGGGCGGCGGCAATGGAGCTAGGGGAATACTTTGTGGATGAAGAGGGGAGAAAAGAGAAGAACAAGAATAATACGAGGAAAGATAGAGATATACTAACGAACTCACAAAGAGATCGTAAGAACCGCGAACCTCGGACTCTTCCAAAGATTGGCGGGTATTGCGAATTACCCTCCTCGGGCTTCTCCTCTCATGAACTCACTAAGAGATCACGTGAACTCACTAAGAGATCACGTGAACTCACTAAGAGATCAACAAAAACATGAAACTTTTCATTATCAATCATCATCCCCTTCCAAGAGGAAGAGGAGGGCTTAAATAGCCAAATACATGAAGGGAAATAAAAGACACAATTGCCACTAGGGCAAACATAGAACAAAGCCCTCAAGTGAGGGTATAAATGAAAAAGTACAAATAACAAATAAAATACATGAAAATAAATAGACACGATCGTAGTCGTTGATCTTCGATGTCCTCATCAAAATTGGTATCATAGCAGGTTAGTAAGTCCTAGGTTTATGAGTCGTGTGTGTCTTGATGTCATGTTAGTTATCATGAAAGTTTTGTTTTGATTCATGCTGTCATTTGAGTCTTGGTGTCAAGTGAGCAATCTCAAGCCTTGGAGTCTCTTGATGCAACGCCTTCAGAACAAAGCTAACTCATCGGGAGATGAATTCTCAAGTAGGGGAGTCTGATGTAGACAAAGGGGGGGTCAAATCAAACCCAAAAAATTTTGATTTTGACTTCCCTTGAGCTTGCTAGCTCATTAATTTTTGAGCTAAGATTTAGCTCATTTTGAGCTGGTTTTAGTTCATTTATTGAACTAAGAGTTAGCTCATTATGAGCTATGTTTTTAGTTCACTTATTAAGTTATTAGTAGCTCATTATTTTTGTCTCTTCTCCTTCCCCTTGTCTATTCGTTTCCCATGGATGACTCTTGGTTTTCCGTGCCTTGGCTCCTTGGT